TCCTTCCTGTCGGCAGCACCGGTAGGAGTTGTTTTACTGTAGGAAACTCTCTTCGATGCCCCCTCTCGCTTCCCCCCTCCCCCCTCCACGCTCTCCCAGGAGCCCCACTTTCATTTTCCTTTACTCTCCCTCCCCCAGTCGTTACCACAGTTTAGGGCCAATCGACGAGGAGGAGAAGAGGTAACGGAGCATCCGCCATAGCGACGACTAGAGCGGAGCAGCTAGTGAGAATCCCGATGCAGGGGAGTGAGAAAGAGGAGAAGGAGGGGAAAGAAATTAGCAAAATCGCCTCCCAGGAGGCCGTTGTGGATCCGGCCATAGTCCAGTTGCGGTACTAAATAGGAACATATACGACATAATGGACTGAAACATTCCTGTTTAGAATTATCATTCCTCAATCTTTTTCCGAACTTTGTTTTAAAATCGTCAAATTCTCTTATATCACTGTGTCATCAATGGCCGAAAACAGCTTTCAGGGCCCAAAGCTATCTGATCTGTGATCAAAAACCCATACTCAAGCTAATTTTGTAATTTCAAAATCAAGCAAGATTTTCGAGTCAATTAAAATTTCCAGGCTTATTTTATAAAGTTTTCTGGCAATTCCAAATACAGTATAAAATGAAACGAAGGGGGTTATTTGACTCCAGAACAATTGACCGGTTTATGTAGCGCCAGTGCGGAATTGCAATTTTACATTAAATTTATACACTATCGATGGTAATGTAGGAGACTGAAATAGCAGGGAATGAGATCATAAGATGTTCTTGTGCTCGGCCCCTCTATGTAGACGTAGGCTAAGTTCATAAGCACAGAACGAAGCAAACTATGGATCAGAAACCCCAGTTCCCTTTCAAGCGAAAACCGTTCAAAAAACAGCTGTGACAAGTTATAACTGACTCTTGATTATTTTATTGTATTCACCCACTAAGTGTTCATAATATATTTGATTTCACAGCTTTTCACAGCTTACATCTTTAATTTCACAACTTTTTTTAGTCTAAGCCGTGAAATCAAAATCTTCGTGTTAGCATCATAGGAAGGCATTGACACAACGCAATTTAAACGCAAAATCAGTCGTTAGCCTTGAATTATGAAAAGAAATTAACTTTGAAATCTTGAGATCGCTGCTCCTCTCATTCTGAAATTGTAAAATTAGCAGCAATTTAGACTTTAAGCCACAGTGTTCGACGCTGAGAGTTTGCGACTCCTTTACATAGTCAAACGTATGCCCGCAAAATTTTGGCTTCCAGCTATCATAGCCTTTCAGAACACTAGAGATTTTTTCTTTTTTTTAAACTTATTTTATGTAGCTGCATGCAAAGGTAAGGGTGGATGCAGAAACAGGGCAGTGTGAAGAAATCACCTTATATGGAGGTGTGGACAAACGTTCGCGCGCTCCAGATCGTATCTCGGACTGATTGAAAGCTCGACGTCCGATCAGTTTGGGGATGAAATTGCTGCGATTTTCCAGGAGAGCACTGACTCGATGTACAACACCGCGCTTTGGTTCCACCACTGTGTTGAGACGCTGACGGAGTGCCTTGTTTTCCCGGCGTAGCTCGCCAATTTCACCAACCAAGCTGCAGAGTGCGCCTGCAATGCAGTGATAGTATTGCTCTGATGGCTACTCTTCCAGCTCACGGCTACTGCTACTCAGCAACAGTCAGCAACCAAGACTGCAGCGCACTAGGATTGCAGTGCAGTCATGCGTTTTTGCGCTAAACTTGTAGATCGCTAACAGCCACGAATGGTCCCTGTGCTGCAGTTTAACACTTGAACTCATATTGGCTGTGTTTGATTTCCCGCACGTAGGGAGCAATGGGTTTCGGCTGTGATGAAGGTTTTTCATTACTGGACTGCATGGACCTCTAATGTGCATGATTATTAGTTTTTTGCATGAAGTCCGGTCGTTTTTCTGGTGAATGCCTGTTCACTGCAAAAAGGCAAATTTGAGGAAAGTCGGAAGAGGATTAAGAAATCCGTAAAATGCAACAGCTTTCCAGTTTTCGATAAAACTAAATATTTGTCATGTCTTCGTGCACGGAATTGCACCTTCAAAATAATTTAAGACCACACGTGAATTTAGAACCTCCCTGTAAAGTTTCAGCTTTGCAGCTCGTCTGGTAAGCGAAATAGCCATCTCGCTACAAATATCTTTAAAGTGCCCTAAGTCGTGGCGGAAGTGAAAATCGAAACTCAATTTCGGTATACGATTTTCCACACGAGCAACAAATTTTCTAACAGAATTTCAGCTATGTTCTCCGACTAGTTTTCGAGTTAGCACACTGCCAACTGCGAAATTTCACGTGACCGTACGCGCGGCACAAGCATGTGCGATAGCTGAATTTGAAATCTTTAACTCATACATGCAAAGTTTCAGCTTACTACCTTGCCTAATTTACGAAATCATTTCCTATCAAAGAAATTTGCATATTTTTTTCGGGGTCCATACGTGAGATCCAGACATATATGAGCGAAGATTTTAAAACAGGGAGGTGACACATGGGGGTGGGGGTATGACCCCAAATTTTCCGTCTCGCAGCTTTTCTGGTTGCTGAGTTGAAAGTGAGTGATAAAGTTCACTCGTTTCCGAACATACACGCCCACGGCCGACCTTTCAAAAATATGCGTTTTTGCTCACAGAAACGCACATTGTGAGAACTCATGTTTGCGTTTGTTCGTCTTTCCGGGTATTTCAGTCTGTCAAACAAGCAAACTTAGATGCATAAGTTTCGCCAGTTTGTTCGCTAGTTAATTGCAGCCCCAGAAAAGGGATATCAACTTTCATGGACGCCTGCGTCTCAGTGCGAGCGCGTGAACGTCTTAGTGAGAAAATTACTACCCAGAAACTTCAGAAGGATTTCAAATTCAACCTAGATCTCTCCAACAATTTTAAGTCCAGTTCCTAAATACGCACAGATCTCACGCACATATGTAAAACGATGTGAAATTAGCTAATTCGGGGACCGAAAAAGTTTGGAAGCCAGAATTTTAGCGAGGGGTTTCTTGCCTATGTGCGACTAAAATTTAAATTTGGCTTTATTGCTCGCCCGCTCTTTAAGTGCGTGGAAACAAGTGAAATCTGAATTGTAAAATTTCTCAATTCTGCAAAGGGGCAATATAAAACGTTTTAACTTTCTGTGCCATGACCCTTGGAAATGTGTTTATCCTACAAATTAATTTTCTCAACCACTTACGTAAATACACGTAGGGTCATCTGAGAGTCGAAAGCACAAAAATTTTTCAGTTCTGAAACCACACAAGTGAAAAAATTTAAGCTTTTATATCATGATTCTTAGCCATGTCTTGGTCTGAACTATGTTACATGAACCAAACAACTTCTCATTTCAAACCGAAAGAATTTTGAAGCAAAACTGTCAAACATCAAACAGGCAGCCCTTTTTAGCTGACTGCAAGAATCCATGAATGCACTATCAGTCTTGGTGCGCTACTGGTTTAAGATGCTTTTGTTTGAAATTACACATAAAATTTTATACTTGAGGTCGTTTAATGTGCTAAACATTATTTGTATTTCCAGTATGAGTGTGGCTGGTGGTTTTTGGTCCCCAATCCCTGCCAGCAGGATTTACGATAAGAAAAGTTTTGAGAGCTAAGCCCTCAAAGCTTTCTGGTTCCACTCGTCCGAAATTATGCACAAATGATCAATGTGAGCTAAAATGATATTGGTGAAGAGAATTGAAATGCTGCCTTACCAAGCCGAAATTCTGAATTTGAAACTATTAACCAATATACCTAGTACTGGAACATCCTCGCAAAGCGGCGGTCGTTCGGAGACTTGTGCTCGCATGTTTTCCAGTTCTCGCAAAAATTCATCCTCTTCCTCTTCGTATCTGCAAAGCTAAGTTCGAACTTAATTTTCCACACACCTTACCAGCATACAACTGGTGAGTGCCAATTGGGCGTTCAGTAACTAGTTGCTTTCGTGCACTTTTACGTTTTATTCATGCATGTGAACATCTGCTGATCTATCTAGATAATCTAATTTCAGAGCTGTAAAACTAAAAAGTTTTAATTTTAAAGCAGTCCTCAATATTTACGGCTACTTATATAAAAGCAGATTACATTATTCATTGTGAGGTAAAACTACAGTCGCTGAAATTCAATTTAGCAATTTTCCTTATCCTTAAAATAATTATTTAGCTATACACCTTTGGTAATAGATCAGTACCATTGGTCAAAAGCACTAAATACTGGCTTGACACTGTGTTTGCTGGGCCATGCGAAGTTTCACTTTCATAATCTTCATATGCGAAGAACGCCATGAATACCCGAACATCAGTACTGGCAACCTATGCTAATGATGTCACTGGGACGTAGTTATTACCCATCACTTCTAGATCAGCACTGTTTACCTACAGTCTGGCCGCGAGCATATTGATACTTTACATCACCTTCGTCCTCCATATTTTAATTTTCAGACTCGGTTCCTACTGCATATGCTGGGCTCATGCAGTACCTTATTTCCACTAAAGCTGCTCATAGCGCGGACTGTACTATTCGCGAAGCATCGATGTTTTTGCTTCTCACCTTGATCTCTAGACCAATTTTTCCGATCCGGCTTCCTTAATACCATCCCGATATGGGCCGTGAAAAGCTTAACAATATGAGACTGTTTTGGTTTGCGCCTCTTTCGATCTGTATTACGGCTCCAACGTATCATTTGACATATATGCCACATTTTTCACTTATATTTATACTTTTTGTATACACATTTTCACTCATGCGTATATCCACATATTTCTCATATATA